ATTTCAATGCCAGATGTGGACTTCAACCTGAAAGGGCCGAAACTGAAAGGAGACATGGATGTGTCAGTACCAAAAGTGGAAGGTGATATCAAAGCACCAAAAGTTGACATTGAAGTGCCGAGTGCAAGCATGGAGGGACCTGAACTTGATGTTCGGGGTCCTGATGGCAAATTTAAGGGACCTAACTTTAAGATGCCGACCATTTCTGGTCCAAAGTTATCAATGCCAGACCTGGATTTGAACCTAAAAGGACCGAAACTGAAAGGGGACGTTAATGTTTCTGTCCCGAAAGTTGAAGGTGATGTTAAGGCTGCACACATAGATGTCAAAAGTCCGGACATGGATCTGAAAGCTTCTGAGGGACGTTTTAAAATGCCCAAGTTTAAGTTGCCAAAGTTTAGTTTTAAAAGTCCAAAAGTTGAATCTCCAGATGCAGGTCTTAATGTACCAAAAGGTGGATTTGAAGTTAAATCTCCCTCAGTTGACATTGAGGGTGTTGAAGCTGATTTGGGAAGTCCTGATGGCAAAATGAAGGGACCTAAATTTAGGATGCCATCCATTTCTGCACCAAAAATTTCAATGCCAGATGTGGACCTGAACCTAAAAGCACCCAAACTGAAAGGAGACGTGGATATGTCTGTTCCAAAGGTAGAAGGTGACATCAAGGTGCCAAAAGTTGGTATTGAAGGCCCAGATGTTGATATTGAAGGGCCAGAATTTGATGTTGAGGGTCCTGATGGAAAAATCAAGGGACCTAAATTCAAAATGCCAAAAATTTCTGGGCCTAAGATTTCACTGCCGGATGTGGACTTCAACCTGAAAGGGCCAAAGCTGAAAGGAGATATGGATGCATCATTACCGAAGGTGGAAGGTGAAATCAAGGCTCCAAAAGTTGACATTGAGGGCCCAGATGTTGACATTGAAGGTCCAGAAGGTGGATTCAAAATGCCCAAGATCAAAATGCCCAAATTCGGCCTCAAAGGACCCAAAGTGGAGGGTCCCGATGTTGATGTAAACTTACCAAAAGCTGATTTTGATCTTAAAGGACCTAAAGTTGATATTGAAGGTCCAGAATTTGATGTTGAGGGTCCTGATGGAAAAATCAAGGGACCTAAATTCAAAATGCCAAAAATTTC